AAATATGTAAAGTTTTTTTTTTTTAAATTTCAAATTTGAATTTTAAAATAACTCCTATCTTTATTGCAAGAGTCAAATTAGGGAGTCATTATAACGATTAAAATCATCATAATGATTTTGGGGGAGATGGGGGCCGGAGGTCAAGAGGGGAGAAAGTGGGTTAGGTGTTGGGTTGAGGTGGCCACAAGCTAGGCCGGCGATTTGGGATTGATTTGGTGGTGATGTTGGGTGGGTTTCGGTGGGGGAATAATGGCCGGTGGTGGGAGCTAGTGGAGGCGGCGGGTGGGGGTGGGGAAGAGGAGAAGAAGAAGAAGATAAAGTAAGAAACCAGGAGTCGCGGACTCTTCCAACAACTGGTGGGTATTGCGCTTGCTCACCTTGAGCTCTCTCCAGTGCTCTCACAAGAAGAAGAATAAGAAGACAAAATAAAATATCATTCAATCAATCATCAAAGAAAATTACAGCATAAGAGACCACTATATATAGGCCTCCAATCATGAAAAGGAAAAGTACGACATTGCCATCTGGGCTATAATAATAAGACAACTCCCCAACGGGATAAATGCGGAAACAATAAATAACTAAATAATCATAACATGGAAAAAGTATCAAAAGTAGAGGCATTGAATGGTAGCCGTAGATCTATGATTCCATCGTCGATAAACATGTCGGTAGCGTCTGTCGATGTCCTCATCAAAATAACTTGTAAAGAGAATACATAAATAAGAAAATAACTCAAGATAAATCTAGAAAGAAGGAAAGAAGATAATCTTCCCTTCAAGGCAGAAGAAAATTTGTAATTTAGATTCACATGTTCTATTGTTCCACCTTCAAAAGAGAGAGAAGAATACAAGACAACAAAATCCAAACAAGGGGTGTCATGGGCTCTCTTCCAGTTAAAAAGCACAATAAGCAACATCAAGTTGATGTTCTACATTAAATTAATGTATATGAACACTCCCAGCTTACTCAGAAGCCCATAAATAAAGGGGGAAGAAAAAATAATATATTCAAAGGACCAAAAAAAAAGATGACGAGCTTCTATTTGCAGAAGCAAATGATATAAAAGGGGGAACCATGATCTATAAAGCTTTTAAAGAATATTCATGAAAACTAAACATTAAAGATAAACTGCAAGCATAAATTCAAACACTTAATTATAAATTTGCAATTTTAAACTCCCAAGAATGAAGAGGTGGCCACAGATGGGTAAGAAAGAGATTTCAATAAGAAGAATCCAAAAAAAAGTAACCAATATTCTCTCCACCAATTTCTCCTCCTTAACTTGAGAGGCAATCACTTCTTAAAGATAAAAGCTAGTAATTAGTTACAAGATTTATAGGTTAGTTCATGTTTTTTAGTATTCTATAACAACAACAACAACATCAAGCCTTTATCCCACTACGTGGGGTCGGCTACATGAATCCTTTTTCTCCATTGAGTCCTATTAAAAGCCAAATTCTCGTTTAAATCTAATAAAGAAAGGTCATTCCTAATATTTTCTAACCAAGTCTTTTTAGGTCTACCCCTACCTTTCTTAACACAAGTCAAATCTAATACCTCTACTCTCTTAACTGGGTCGTCGGAAGGCCGCCTTTTTATGTGACCAAACCATCTAAGGCGACTCTCTCTAATCTTATCTTCTACTGGAGCTACTCCAACCTTTTCACGTATATGCTCATTTCGTATCCTATCTCTAAGGGTAAAGCCACTCATCCATCTAAGCATCCTCATCTCTGCCACACTTAACTTAGTATTATGCTTCTCTTTTAATGGCCAACATTCGGCACCATAAAGCATTGCAGGCCTCACTACCATCTTATAGAATTTTCCCTTAAGTTTGAGGGGTACATTTCTATCACATAACAAGCCCGATGCATTCCGCCACTTCAACCATCCAACTTGAATTCTGCTGATAATATCCCCATCTATTTCACCATCACTCTGAACAATAGATCCAAGATACCTAAAACGTGTACTCTTATTAATGACTTGATCGCCCAAAGTCACAATCCCCTCACTAGGACTATTACTGCTAAAATTACACTCCATATATTCCGTTTTAGATCTACTCAAGCGAAAACCTTTAGACTCTAAGGTTGACCTCCATAATTCAAGTTTACCTTCAACTCCCTCTCTAGTCTTATCAACAAGAAGAATATCATCAGCAAAAAACATACACCAAGGTACATCCTCTTGCAAATGTCTAGTGAGAACATCCAAGACTAAAGCAAAAAGATATGGGCTTAAGGCTGATCCTTGATTATATATATATATATATATATATATATTTCTTTTTGGATAATTAATTTAGTTACTTGTGATTGAACATTTTGTAATCTCGTTACCCTGAAGTTATTAAAGGATAAATACCTACACTTTTATTGAAATTCATGTTGTACATTGTTTGGATTTGATTTTAGAGAATTTCTTCAATATTTATAATTCAATATCTATAAACTAAAGATATGCTTTAAAAAAGTAATGGTTGTGTAGTGTTTTATTTATTCAAGACCGCAATTATTTGATTTGATGAGAAGATGCACCAATTAAATATTATAAGTAAAACCAACTAAGACTCAATTTGCCACTACTTCTATCTTTAAGTGGTTTCATCAACAAAAAAATGAATTTAAAGAAAACTTTCACAGGTGAGGAATTTATGTGCCTCCCTATACAAAGGAAAAGCAAAGCAATCACAACAAAATACATAGAAACAATCCTTCTAAAATATAGTGTTGTATGCAATCCAAGTAGGTGCACCTTTGATGGAGGTTCTTAATTTGTTAAATATAGAGAAAAAGTCTTTAATGAGTTACATACAAGGAAATCAATTCAGCCAACCCTAAAAGAATTCCATAATTTACAAGTAATCTGAAGTATAAACAAAATTTTCAAATCATTAATTAGGAAATGGAAAATGTAACTTTAACACTTTTGTATGTGGGCTGCTCATTTCTTAAATCCAAATTAATTTTATAAAGGCCCTAACATTGCAAAAGAAAAGAAAATAGGTTATGGTTTATATGTCATATGAAGAAAGACTAGGATATTAATGAAGAAAACAATAAAAAATGAATTTGGCATACACATTATGAGTGGATTTTTAGGATTCCGCAACCTGCAAGAGAAAAAATTACTTTGGCTCCAATTAACACAACTTTAAAAATTTAATAATAATTCATATGGAATAATTAGATGTTTAAATAGCATTAAATGTTTGTATAGATCTAGTTCCTAAGTAGCTAGCATATGATGAAGGAGCTCCACATTTGCAAATTTCTAGGATTAAAGCGCTTAGACTTATATCTAGTTCATCTAAAAATGAACATAATTGGATTGTATTTAAATATGTAAGTACAAATGTGGAAGTTTTTGTTGACTTTTAACCTGAAACTTTATAATTTAATGTTACAACTTTATAGCAAAACAATGAATGTCTCAAGAACTTGGTTTACCTCTAAAGTACGATGGGCATTGATTCAGAGATACAACCATAATGAAATCATTGAAAATATTTCTTTTAAATAAATAGATGATTGTAATAAGTACTTGACAAGGAAATTAGATGATGAGCAAGATCAGGAAGATGGATTGGTGTTTAGTGAAAAAAAGTTGACATGGAGAATGACTGTGAGAGCTAGTGGTGTTTATGAAATAAACTATAATATTTGATATAAAATGAACATTCATGTAGGCCTATCACATTTGCAATTGAAGATGAAAATGATGAGAGACACAAAGAATATTATGATTTGGGAGATGATTATGATGATGATGATAGAAACAAGCTATTATGATCTATGACGACAATGATGATTATTCTTATTATAATAAGACCTGTATGGGAAAAAAACTATTTCTGATGTTTGGAACACAAGCTTCAAAACAACTTTTCAAATTATGGTGGGTTGAAATTATTACTTCAGATTCAATTTCAATTGAAATCAATTCAGAGCAACTTAATTTTTTTTCTTAGGATGATTTCAAGAGTTTCATCCATAACAAAGAGTTTTGACAAAAACTCCTTAGATCAATTGTGAATAAAGGGTTTAGATTGAGTTTCAATAAACTTTTGAGTGAAATTTAAGATTTCCCCACAAAATCATATTATCTTTAAGAAACTCCATTAAAGCTACAAATAGTTGCCAAAGCTCTATTATAATTCTATTGCTAGAATCCCATTAAATTTCATATGCATCGAAACTTGAATCTCAATTAGATAATTCTCATTATTTCAAATTTTAGATATACTTCTATAATATTTATAATTAAAAGGTAACTAACATGCAATTGAAAGTAAATCTCAAAACCAATGAAGCTATCAAAACCAAAAAAATTAAGATGGGATCAAAATCTAGTTTTGATACCTTGCTTCAAAGTTTACCATTCTATATTAGCAGTCATTGCCACAATTATAATAGTTTTATAAGCAAAACTAGTTGTTTGTATTGTAATGATGGCTTATTTGTCAATGTTATTATCTTTCATTAATCTTCATAAGTTAAAACAATATTTTACTCTATTTATATAATATTGACAACGGCTTATTTTCCAACATTATTTCCTTTCATTAATCTTCATATATGTTTAAGAAAAATTATATTCTATTTATATAACATTAATCGCGTCAATTTTGTTGTTAGAATATTTTATCTATTACATTAATAAGTTCTTAATAAATTATACAATATATTTTAATTAATTGTGTTATTTTAAAATAGCATGACCCACACTATCCTTTATAGCTCCACAGGATCACCACACTATTGACAAATATGGTGTAAACCAAGCTAGATCCATAGTTAGCACACTAATGGTCAAATGCAATTTCAGCCCAAAAGCTTATGGGAGAGGATCAAACACCTGTTATTTCTACACCAACATGTTTTTGCTTATAAGAAGTGGGACAAAAGTGGATACTCTCATATGCCTAAACAGAGTCATCCTGGACGCTTTTATAAAATTAATTATTTACACAATACGGTAAAAAAACGCACCTGAAAGCGGTCATTAAGCATCTGGAGATTGTACAGTTTATCCGGTCTCGACTCCTGGACGTTCGCAGCGTTCTGAAGGAAAGAAATCAGCGGCGCTGCGGACTCCTCTAAGGATTTCAATCTCCCGACTACTTCTGCCCTCCTGTCCATCATCTCTGCTAACAAGAATCTAAGGCTTAAACTCACAAAGGCATAAAATTCAAAATCATAAAAAATAAAGAAGGTACCTTGCGGAACTTCCTCGGTGTGGTAAAGGCTCTTGTGAATGTCCATCGCGTAATCAACCATGTTGGTCTTGCTAAGAAGGTCAATCTTGGCTTTGAGGATCTCTTCATCGGCGTAAAGTTGCCGCTCTTGGAGAAACTCGAGGAGCGGGAAGACGAGATGGCGGTCGAGGTGAGGGGCAATGCGAGAGGTTAAGTCATGCTCCGCCATGGCTAGGGTTTCTAGGGTTCAAAGCGGCTGGAGCTGAAAGAGGACCTGCACGCTCGCGGCATTTGTAATGCGGGTACACATTAAGGTAATAAGGTGAGAACCGCCGCGTCCGCGGTTAGAATAAAAATAAATTGCACTTTAGCCCTCAAATTAAGGGTGAATTATTGTGGGTGATGTTGTATTTTGGTGACGTGGCAACACCGGATTGGTGTCCGGACGAATCCGGACACCTAACGCAATAATTTGCCCAAACTAAGGGGTTGTTTGGTTGCCTGAATTAGAAGTGTAAAGTAAAACAATTACGCGTATTTACTAAATTTGGTTGTTTGGTTAATTTTGAGCGGAACAAAAGAAAACCCTCCGAAGCATTAGGCGTGTATTAGGAGTAATTATTACGTCCAGTCAAATCCGAACGTATCCGAATGTATACCAAGCAATACCGAGTTTTAGGTGACGTGGCGCGTGGTTATTAGTCTATGAAAGCATTTGGTGACTGGACGGAATAATTGCTCGTGTATTAGGGGGCTTGTTTCGTGCGAATTAGAAACCCGCTCATATTGAGCAGGTTATAAATTTGCTGGATAAAGAAATCCGAAGCATTATCATCTTTGTTGTTCGGCTTCATTGCTTCGAAGGAGGTGTAAGATTGCACGAGAGGCTTCTTGAGCTCCTTCGTTCTTGTTCTACTTCGCTCCTTCGACGCGACGACGTTCCCTTTGCATGTCCGATCGGAAGTTGCGACAATTTCATCAGAAGTAAGGACGGGAGCTCGCAAGTTCGCATCATCGTCGTTGTTGTTCAGCTTCATTGCTTCGCTGCCTTCGCAGGAGGTGTAAGATTGCACGAGAGGCTTCTTCGGCTCCTTCTTCGCTCTTGTTCGACTTCGCTCCTTCGACACGTTCCCTTTGCCTGTCGGAACGGAAGTTGCGACATTTTCATCGGAAGTAAGGACGGGAGCCCGCAAGTTCTAAAGGTAACTTTATCCCTTTCGCGCGCTTTTTCGGCCAAATCCCGTCAATCCTTCGAACTACACCTGCTCGCTTCATTAAGACCGAGCTTTTATCTACTTTCATCGATTTTGTGAAATTGTTTGAAGTTTGTCGTGACCTGCTTTGTTATGTTTTTCCTTTGTGTGGTGATGACGAATTTGCAGAGCTCATGTTAGCGAGATGGCACAAATCAGTCCTATATATACACCAATTTATCATAGGATGGTACTGGCATCAGAGTTGTTTTATAAGACCGAGACCGTTTGTAATGCTTTGTAGTTATTTTTTAGAAAGGAAATAGAATGTTTGATTGGCTTGCTAATGAAAGCCCTAATTATTACGTCCTCCGATCGGATGTAGAGGAACGTTCGGTCGGAGGCCAAATCGCGCCAAAAAACGAGAAATAACGAGCAAATACCGAGCAATACCAAACAATAACGAGGAATACCATCACGTGAAGATCCAATACCGAGTTATACCGAGCTATACCGAGCAATACTGAGTTATACAAAAGTTGTACCGAGTTTTTCCTAGAAAAAACTCGGTACAACTCGGTATTGCTCGGTATAGCTCGGTATAACTCGGTATTGGTCTTCACAGAGCGGTATTCCTCATTATTATCAAATAATACCTAGCAATAGAGAGCAAATACCGAGTTTTTTGGCGGGATTTTGCCTCCGACCGGACATTCCTCTACGTCCTTACACTGGACCTAATAAAAGTTCGATGATGACTGGTGGAGTTTCTGAGGTTTTAGTTTGTTCTCGTAATTAGCTGATTAAGATTTTGACCCATTTTATTATGTTTGGTCATTGAATTTACCCTTGACAGAATCGCATTCCCTCGCCTTAGCTTACTTGGGAGTCTTAGGAGTTATGAAACGTAAAATTAATGCAAAATATTTTGTTGCTCAAGCAATTTATAGTCTTGTTTGTACTAGCAAAGAAGCAATTCATCTTGCTATTGCAAATGCAGGTTCTGTTGGTGGACTAATCAGCTTAGTTGGTCATGTAGAATCAGAATTGGCAAACCTTGTTGCTTTGTCTGAAGAGTTTAATCTGGTGAGAAACCTGGCCTGACAACATTGCACTCCAGCATTTGATTGAGGTAGAAGATATTAGGACTGGTGGCATTGCTCGCAAGTCAATACCCCTGTTGGTGGACCTTCTTAGACCAATGCCTGATAGACCAAGAGCTACTCCAATCATTGTTCATCTTCTGACACAGATAGCATAAGCAAATGGTGCCAACAAATTGGTTATGGCTGAAGCTGGAGCTCTGGAAGCATTGACCAAGTATTTGTATTTATGTCCACAAGACTCCACCAAAGCCTTCATAATTGATCTTCTTGGGATCTTATACAACAATTCGAACATACTTCAACATGATGTTTCTTCAGGCTCATTGAATCAGCTCATAGATGTTTTACGGTTGGGGTCTAGAAGGGCTAGATTTAGCGCTGGAAGGGCTTCGCAGGAGTTTTTTTGGATCGGAGGATGTCAGAGATACTGAAATAGCTTAATTGATTGAAGTAAATTTTACCTTAATTCGATTTAGGTTTAAATAAATTAAATTATATAAAAAATTTTATAACACCAAATAATACTAATTATTATAAATACACTGATTTTAAAAATATTCTTATTTTTAATGCTAAAATAAATTATTACAAAAAAATGCTTTTACTTTTGTTGCGTCCTGGAATATTCGCGGCGGTAGAGAAATATAGTTTAATGTCTTAGTATTGTACGAAGATCCAGCACACAATTAGATAAGTGAGAGGGTGTAGCATTCATAAGAGACACCAGAGTTTTTTACGTGGAAAACCTCTGAAAGGTGGACAAACCACGGAGCCAGGCCCAGTATGAATGAATCCACTAGTATTTGTAGTCAATTACAAATGAGGCCCTTCCTTGGGAGAAGGCCTTGGATTGATGTAGCAAATATACATCATATAGATTGCATTACATGGTAGGAGTGACATATACATGTTCGTTTGGTCGGAAGGACCGTAGTCGGCAGGAGACCGGGGTCAGAAAGACCGTTGTTTGTTAATGGAGGTCGGAATGACCATAGTAGGCGACGGAGGTCGGGAAGACCGTAGTCGGCAGGAGACTGGGGTCTGAAAGACCTTTGAATGTTGATGGAGGTCGAAAGGACCATAGTAGGCGACGGAGGTCGGGAAGACCGTAGTAGGCAGGAGACCGGGGTCTGAATGTCGGGCTTTAAGCAGGATGTGAACATCGGGCGTGAACATCGGGCCTAAATGTCGGGCCTTAAGATGGTGGTGCGGCGAAACTATGGAGGTGTTCCGGCGAGGCTCCGGCGGTGGTCCGACGAGGCTCCGGCGGTGGTCCGGCGAGGCTTCGGCGGTGGTCCGAAGAGGTTCCGGCAGTGGTCGAGGAGGAGCTTCTTCCTTCTCCTCTTCCTTCTCTTCTTGCTTGGATCCCCTCTTGTGAAGAATGAGGGCTCTATTTATAGATTTTCTGGAGTGGCATGACCCGTAAATAGGCGTGAGATCAGGGGCAAATAGGGAGTGGTCGAATGGACGGCCGATATTGAATCCTACGATCGTGCACCGTTCGTTGGACATTTGAAGGCCTTAGTGATGTTGGAATTCTGTGATCTTGGGCTCGTTGGACTCATCTCGTCGAGCCGTTCGATTCGAGTATAAGCTCGTTAAAATCGGAGACCGTTTGGTAACTCAAATTGCGGTTTGAACCTTCCAACAGCGCATCAGGTCCATGATTCGGACCCATTTGGACTCGGATTGGGTCGAATTTGGTGTCGTTGGATTCGTATTTCCGAGACGCTCAGTTCGACTGTAAGTTTGCTGAAATCAGAGTTTGGGTGCTCTCGGAATTAATTTTTGAAGTTGCCAACTAGCTTTTGCCTCGAGATTCGTGCCCGATCAAGCTAATTTTGTGATGACGTATCAACTTTACTTTGGATATACCTAACCAAACAAGAAAAATAATTCTCCTGCGTTTATTTTGCATACAACCAAAGAGGCTCAATGTATTTAAAATGCATTACATTGCTTTTACTTTACACTGCGTTTCTTTTTCAGGCAACCAAACAGCCCCTAACTAGTTTTACTTTTTTTTCTTTAATATATCATATTATTTACATATCTAACTTCTAAAATTTTATATTTTATATTTACAAATATGTCACTTTTATATTTCATTCCTATCACTCATACTATGTTGTAACTTTAATACTTCATTCCTTACATTCATATTTGTTCTATTGATAGTAGGCCTAAAATATTAAAATTTTATATATTAGATTTATAAATGGCATGATATAAAGTGATATATATGTACATCCTCTTTAAAATTTTAAAAACTATAATTATATCTACACACAATTTGTAGAAGTTTGCTATATAAAATGTTCCTTTATGTGTCTCCTAATATCTAAAATTGGATAAATAAATCCAATATTTTATTTCTTAGTCAAATTCACTAGTAAGTTCACACTAAACCCTAAAAAACCTAAAATTACGCAATCTTTCGATCGTAAGAGCTCCTCGACGTTCCTTGTTTCAATCACATTCTTCATTTTTAATGTTTACAGAGCGCATCTTCTTATTGTAATTTTAGGGTTTAGGTATGCATGTCTTACAATTCGTTGTGTTCAGCGGGTTAGGATTTATTTTCCTAAGTTTGAGAATAATTCAACACAAATTTTATTTAAATTAAACTTGGGTCCTTAGAGCTTCTGGATTAATTCTCAAATTGCTACTATTTTCTATTAGTATTAGAAATAAGACTAAAATTTATGATTAAGGCTTTGTTTGGGACGACTTTTTTATTGCTTTCTAAAACTGAGTTTTAATACAAATTTTTTTATTTTTATACTAAAATTCCGTTTTAGAAAGCAATAAAAAAATCGTCTCAAATGAAGCCTAAGTCTAATCAATTAACATGCTTAAAGCCAATTTCATGAAACTTGAATCTACTTAAAATATATTTGTATGCATATAATTTTTCTTATAATATCTTATTATAAATTAATTTGTGATTCTATTATAGATTATTTTTTCTTTGTTGTAGGTGCTTTGATAGGTTGCCAAAAGGAAGCAAAAGTTG